GCCGGAGAAATGAGAGAAGAGTGAATGTCGCCGCTGCTTCACAATGGCCAGAGCCTGAGATTAAAAAATCTGCCTTTTGCGTCTCTCTGTATGCAAGTTCTAATCTACACGGAGGAGGCTGCAGAGAATAGTCTAAAAGTGAAATAAATAAAACATAATTTAAAACACAAAAAGTTCAAAAGAAAAGCAAAAATAATTGGGACATAAATAAATGATATAGGTCACACAATATGGGATCATACAGGTAATTTCCACTTAAAGAAACAGAACTCAAGCAAAAATAATTTGGACTTTCTCCACGGAACTCCCGATAAAATATAAATCACCCCAGCTTGTCTATTTTTGTTTTTTTGTTTTTAATTTTCTTTTCCCCTCTCAACCCACCCTTTATTTTTTCACCTCATTCCCTTACTTGCTTTTAATGCCTCTTTTAATCCTCCACTACACCAAATTAAGAGTAAAAAATCACCATCTTTAATCTTTTGACTCATAATTAATCCTAGACCACTACAAATGTCCTCTCAATTTTTATCAAGCCTAAAATTGTCTACTCAAAATCGAGTGAAATTTTTCACCGAACATGCAAGAGTTTCGAAGCAATTAACGAGAAGTGTCGAAACTTCCACTCATCCCATCATAAAAGATTTCAACCGTAGCACCCAAAGTTCCGAAATATAAAATAAGAAAACAACACAAAATTCAATGCACAATTCAACATTTAACATTTATTTTTCTCTTCGTCTTTTTATGAAATACCAATTCAATATATGAGGATTAGTAAATGAAATAATTACATATATAGTGGCAATTGTGATGCATTTGCTTCCCTATTCCCTGAGAATGGATGATTTTTTCAATCACTCATTTTTCATTAGTTAAGATGAGCACAATTCACTTGTTTAATTTGGAAACAAGATTTACTTGAGTTGGTAATTTATATGATTATGTTTGATTTTGATATTTGTACGTAAACCATCTTAATCAAATGTTTCTTCTAAAATCTAAATACATATTTTCCTCTAATTAAACGTGTGTAATTGAATTGAATTGAATTGACTTATAAATGTATCATTTGTATGTGTAATAAGATCAAAAGGGGCTCTATTTATCTATGAAAGAGCAATTATATGTAATCTTTAATGAGTTATATTATGATATACTTTCCACTTGCAACGTAGCTCTGCAAGTTTATTAGATAACTAGCTAGGTTAGAACACATTAAAATCACCAGAAAAGTAATTCAGATCCTGCAAGTTGAGTACTGATTTATCTGTGTTTATTTTATTTAATTGAGTACTTTTCACCTGCTTATTGGTTCTAGGTATCTCCTTATTTATTTTTTTAAAAAAATAGAATCCGTTGAACAAACAAACTAAAAATGTTGTTTGGGTAATGATAATTCTAGCTCATGAGTTTGGCTTATTCATTCTAGGTACGTGGCTTTATCTATATGGATAATGTTGGTGGTATTTTAGTGAATTTGATTTAGGGTTGGTTTGCAACTGCTTTTAGAAAAGCATTTCTCAGCTTTTAGCTTTAAAAAAGCACTTATTTTCTCAAACACTACAACTTTTATTTTTCTCGGCTTCTGCGTCAAAAGTGCTTTTACTTTTTCTATTACACAAAAAACACTTATTTTACCAAACACTACACACTTTTACTTTTCAAAATCACTTTTTTCTCAAACACTATCAACTTTTATTTAATCACTTCTCCTCATTTCATTAAAAAAAGCACTTTTTTAAAAGCAGAAGCTGTTGCAAACAGACCCTTAACCTTTTCATTTTGGCGTTTATGGTTGGGTTTGTGTTTTTTACCGCAAGGAACTATCCAAAGAGTGAAAGAGGTGCTATGTTGGTTTTACCTTAGTCAAACAAAATGAGTTGGTTCAATTCTTACTGGCATGCAATGCTTTCAAACATTGAAATTTGTCAACCATATTTGCAGTGACAAAGCTTTGTAAGTTTTTTAGTAATGTAACTACAATTTAAATTTTAAAAATTTAAATGTTAAGGACCCATATTACACAGATACGGAAAACAATTATTCTTGGTAGATAAAAATTGTCTGCTTTGCAAAATCAATGCTAAAAAATTAAGACTGTTACTAGGTTGGGAGTTCATGTGTAAAACACATTCACGATTACATTCCATGATAAAATGAATTGTTAGGAAATATAACATTTGATATATATTCTCAAGTCTCAACTATTTTGGAGGACACAAACATTTTCTGGTTCTTTAATTATTGAATGATGTGCTGTACAATTTTGACATGGATGATGAATCCAGGGTGTAATCGGTTCTCAATCTCCCCAATAGCACAATCATGCTAAACTATTACGCCAAATTCCAAATCAATTTATTCTCATAAGCAGTAAGTTTCAGCCTTCGTATCAGCTTAATCCATTGATGGAATGATTCTTTATAACCTACGTACGTAGGTTATGTTTGTCATACAAAAGGCTATAGCTTCTAGTTTCTCAATTCTTTAAAAAGACTTTAAAAAACTTTAGTTGTATGTTTGACATGACATTTTTTTTAGAGCTTTTGAAAAATTAAAAGATATTTTTTGAGATGCTACCAGGTGTATCATCTGGGAAAAACTCGTGACTTTTAGTAATAATTAGTCATAACAGCTTGTATACCAAACCGAACTAAATCAAACAGTCAGCGTTTTACCAAACAGCTATCACCTGTTATTTTTAAGTTCTTTTCAGTCACTAAAAGCTAACAGTAACTAAAAAGCTCGTAAAAGTATCTTTTTAGCTAGTTGTGTGTGTGTATATATATTTATTTATTTATTTATTTATTTCTTAATTATACTACCCCTAAGGATCTCACATCTCATTCCATTTATTTTGGCAAATCATTTGAAAATCTTTTAAGCGCTCCTATTGTTTCCAGCGAGACCACTTAAACTTGTACTACACACGGAGGAAGGGAAATGAATCCCAGAGTGTGCATGATAATTCCAATACTTCTCAATCTTACACTACTAAAAAAGATTGGAGTTCAGAAGATGTTAAATTATCAAAAGCATGAATATATATTTCTATGTATCCTATATTCACTTGGGATGTTTTTACTTGGACTGTAATTTGCTTATCTAATCGGGTCTGGTCTAAACCGGTCTGATAAATGTCTGGTCTCTGTGTATTTTATAACTACGGAAATCTGAACTGGTCTATTATATATGATCTGGTTTGTTTAAGTCTGGTCTGCAATTGAAAACAATCCAAGTAAAAACATTAAAAATTAAACATAAGTTACTTTAACTAAATTTACTATTCTTATAAATACACTTCAATATCGCATTTTTGAACAGTTTTTATTTTAATCGTAAATATAGAATTATTTCAGTAATTGAAGTACACACAAGCCTGATAAACGGTAACGTAGCACATGTGGTCACAATGCATTTAAATTTTAAAACTAAAGTGTAAAATATGAGTGGCTCTCACGTTTAAATTAAATTTCCTTATTATTGTTTTTTTGCTAACTATTTTTTTTTTATTTCGTCATGAACTTATTACCCCAATGATCTTTTACGAGTGCCTATATCATACAACCGGCTATACGGTGAGCACCGTACAGCCGGCCCAAAAATGAAAGTAACAAGCCCAAAGAAAAAATAGCAAAATAATTCGGTGGTATTGTAGTAATTAATGTGAAAATCGCGGTTTGTGTTAAATGAGCATTAGTGTACTGTTAATGAGCAATCGTTCAATTTTAATCAGCACCGTGTTAGTACAAGAAAGCTGATATCATAACTAAAAAACGGTGGCATTTTCGTAATATCAGTGTAAATCGCCATTATCGTTAGATGAGCATCGATACACTTTTAATGAGCATCAAACGTATTCTATTGAGCATTACGAGTCGAATAATTAGTATTGCGATATCAATTTCATATATTGTAATTCACTTTCTTTTTCTTATTTTTTCTTTTATAAATACTTATTAAATTATATTTATAATCAACTCCTATCAACTTCAATATGCAAAACTAATGTAATATGGCACTTTTGAAATATGCATTGATATGACATTTAAAAAATGAGCACAACATCAGTTCCAATTGAGCATAGTAACATACAAAATGATTATTGATAGGAAACTCGTAAGTTTTTTTTAGTTGACCATAATTAAATACATTTAAATTGAGTATCAAATCTCCTCTATTAAGTTTTAGAATCATGTGGTTGAACATCATTATCTGAGCTCATGCATCTATAATCAAGTCTTATGTTAAAATATAACGAGCATAACACCTGTACCAAATCAGCATATACAACTTACAAAATGAGTATCAGAAAAACCAAAAACTCATTTGTGTATATTCATTCAGTTTAGGCGTTATACTCATTTGAATTTAAAATAAAACTCATTTCTAATATGCTCTATATTCATAAACAACTGATAATCATAAGTGTCGTCCCCAATGACTCCTGGAACGAAAACGCTAAACTCAATGAGTCGAGCTCTTATTTTGAATTAAATTAGATCAAGCTTCAATTCAATTATTTGGAGATAAGTCTGTAGAAGTGGAAAACTTGATGGTTAGCTTCATGATTATGATGTAATTGCTTGAGGTTTTTTCGTGAGATGGCTGAGAAAGATGGACACCAATATATCGGATTATCGGCGGCGGCCTTTAAATTAATTTCCTTTCATTTGTTCATTCGAACTGTAAATTCCCTTAGAGGAATAGAGAATGGTTTCTCAAGCTACTTCCGGTGAAGGGAAAGGGAGCAATCGAACTTCGAATCGGAAGAAACGAGATTTCAGCGAATTATTAACTGCCGTGCTTTGCCGGTGAGTTGTTGTGATACAAAAATGTCCGGCTCACCGTACAGCCGGCTGTACGGTATAATTTACCATCTTTTACTTTAAAAAGGTTATTCAATACGGAGTAGAGTTTTGAACTACATAAAGTACATATTGCAAATTCTTAATACAAAAAAAAGCATCGTACCAATTAAAACATGTATTGAAACTTCACCACATCCATTATAATTATGTCCCTATTTGGTAGTTGAGAGAGGAAAAATGTTTTCTATGTGATTGCATAATACGTGTGTATACTCATCCCTCTCCTTCTTAAGCTTCTTACGGGTGCTAGCCTCGATATCGAACAAAAACAGCCCTTCTCTTCCCAGTACAAGTTTATTTTTACCAATTGATCCCCAAATCATATCAAACCTCATTGAAAATGCACCCTTTAAAGCCCAATTTTGGTCCAAGACCCAAAACGAGCACTCAAAATTTGGAAAGGTTCCACTAACCATCTGCCAGGATACAAATCCCAAATTTGTTCCGGCCTCTGCTAATCGGGGAGTATTGTAATATGGATAAAATAATGGAGGGCTTTCAATCGTCCCAAATTTCTCACTTGTCAAATCGAAGAAACGGATAGATATTGGGTCATTTTGGTATGAGCCGGTTTCAATGAAGTATATTTTCCCGTCAACATGAATCGAATCCAATTTAGGGTACCGGCCGTACCCGCTCTCGTAATGGAACCGGCCCCTCTCGTACTGGAACCTTGGTACATCATCAATCAGAGTTCTCCACGATGAGTTTCTCTCTAAGGTCAAAATTTGGCAACAGCGTTCTTGGCCAAAGTGAAGTACTTTGTACCTTTTTATCGTTGGATCGAACCCGAGTGCATATGTTTTGAAAGCTGCGGGGATTGTCGGTGGCGGCAAATCTCTTTTCTCCCCTGTGGATAGGTTGTAAACTATGTTGCTGCTGTTGCGGCTTCCAGGACGGGAAGCTCTGCTGCAGAAACAGATGAGTCCATAGGCGGTGTTGGAGCAAGGCATATGAGTTCGAAACAAACCTGGATTTGCAGGAACGCGGGAATTTTTAAAAGATAGTGTATGATCTGCTGCGAACGCCCCAGTATTGCTCATAAAAAGAATATAAGAGGCTTTCGGCTGAGCCCGAGCATGCGACATATGTGATTCAGCGAAATTGGGATCCCGTATCAAACGCATCCAATCTTTACAGACGCATTTGACTTGCATTAACTCTCTGGCGGGAAGCCTTTTCAGGATTTCAGAGGTTATGTCATCATGGAATATCCAATGAGATGCTTCGGCTATGTTCGTATCGTTGCCGCCGGTCTTGAGTTTCTTCCTCGCCATATGGAACGACGAGTCTAAAAACGAGAGAAGTTGGACGGTTGAATTGGATATTCACAAGGGTTTATGGTGAAGATTTTAGAGCACGTTGGCTAGCTTGGTAATACCCTCTTTATAAACAAAAAATCAGCCCTAATCATGTTGTAATGCCCGCATAACTACATCATCGTAATGCACGTGCCTTTGTTATTTGTTTTAATTATATTCCAATCATCATATCCTCCCTCGAATCTTCCTAAAATTAAGGATCGATTTGATTAGCTTCGTGTATACGTTTTCATTGATCTCCTAATAATAAAGGACTTAATTCCTTTGGAGTAACTGCCGTGTGCCGATTAATAATAGTAAGGAATTAATTTCAATAAAAACAAAATATTGTTTGGGACCCCTAGAAACGAGGAACGGAGGAAGGGAGAACATACGTAAGTATCTGCTTCAATTATTATTACTATTAATTATTAATTGGTTTAATAATAATTTTTCACTATTGATTTAAGGCTGGAATACGTTTTTAGTCCCTGCAAATATGACACACTTTGTTTTAGGTTCCTGCAAAATATTTTTCTTGTTTTTCATCCTTACAATATGCACTATTTTGTTTTTAGTCCATATCTGATTCCGAAACTACTCTACTTACAAAAAAAATTGGTGTCAGTTGCATAAATCTATAACAAATATTTAAATTTGTCCTTTTATAATTTTTTGAGACTAATTATTTACATTTTTAAATTATATATAAAAATCCTTTTAAAATTTAAAATTTTAAACTTTTTGTTTGAATAACATGATACTGAATTACAGGAAATCTATTAATCAGTGTTATTTTTAGGTCGAACGGAGGTTGTAATCATCAGTGATGGACAAAAAAAAACAACATTAATTGCAAGGATGAAAAACAAAAACAAAATTGCAGGGATACAAAACAAAATGTACTATATTTGCAGGGACTAAAAAATGAATTACCCGTTATTACCCGTTACTTGTTGGGGCGGTTATGACTTGAGTAAAAATTACCCGTTGAGTAATGAGGGCGGTTACGCGGCGGGGAAATTCTCGTCTTATACAGTTATATGTAAAACCGTCCTCGATCCGTCCTATTGCCGTCCCTATTCATAAGTCATATAATGTCGTCATATTGCATTGTACCTCACTGAACTCATTCACTGCCCTTGAATGCATGTCAGTGCCTAAACTCACAAAGTACTGACCATTTTACTCACTGTCCTCAAGCATTTGTTTCCCTATTCCCTGGAAATGGGATAAGGGTCAGTTTGGTCCTCGAAGTTGCAAAAAAGGGGTCAAATAAGTCCTTATATAGAAAATTCTGTCCGGACGTGCCATTTGAGGTGGCTCCAGGTGGAATTTTTTGATGAAATTTTTTGAGCATCTTATTCATTAAGTCTAGTTTACTCATACCAAATTTCAGATAAAAATTCAATCGGGAAGACATTCCAATGAATTCTTGAAGATAACTGTGCCGTTAAAAGCGCTGTTATCTTCAAGAATTCATTTGAATGTCTTCCCGATTGAATTTTTAGCTGAAATTTGGTATGAGTAAACTAGACTTAATGAATAAGATGCTCAAAAACATTTATCACAAAATTCCACCGGGAGCCACCTCAAATGGCACGTCCGGACAGAATCTTCTATATAAAGACTTATTTGACGCCTTTTTTACAACTTCGAGGACTAAACTGACCCTTTACTCACCTGGAAATAGATGATTTTGTCAATCACTCATTGGTCATTACTTAAGAAAAGCATGATTCACTTGTTTAATTTGTAAGTAAGATTTACTTGAGTTGGTAATTTATATGATTATGTTTGATTTCAATATTTGTACTTAATTAAACCATTTAAGTCAATGTGTTTCCTCCATTCCCTCCATATATATATATATATATATATATATATATATATATATATATAGACAAATGTTCATGTCAAGAGTTCCTGACCAGAACCGCCGTCCGGACCGCGGCGTTTGGCCGCCTTCCGGGTGGAATTTTTTGATGAAATTTTTATCACATGTTCTCCATCAAGTCTAGTTTATCCACAAAAAAAGTTCAGCCCAAAAATCAATCGGGAAGGTCGTCAAATAATTTTTGCAAGTTAACTGGTCCAGAATATGGGATTAAATTACTGCACTTTATATATGCGCAGAATGTGCAGTAAGCTTCAAGAATTTATTTGACTGCCTTCCCGATTGAATTTTTGGCTGAAATTTGGTATGGATGAACTAGACTTGATGAGGAACCTACACAAAAAATTTGAGAAAACAATACCACCGGGAAGGCCCCCAAATGGAGGAGGCCGGACGGGGCTCCGGTCAGGTATACCTGACCGGAAGAGTACTCTATATATATATATATATATATATATATATATGAGGAGTGCTCAGGTCCAGCCGGAGGGACGGGAGCAGCCGTCCGAACTTCACTGTTTGGGGCAGTTCCCGGTGGAATTTTTCGATGACATTTTTTGAGCATGTTCGTCATCAGGTCTAGTTTGTCCATACCTAATTTCAGCTCAAAATTCGACCGGGAAGGCAGTCAAATAAATTCTTGAAACTTACTGCACTTTATATATGCGCAGAATGTGCAGTAAGTTTCAAGAATTTATTTGACTGCCTTCCCGGTTGAATTTTGAGCTGAAATTTGGTATGGACAAACTAGACTTGATGAGGAACATGCTAAAAACATTTCATCGAAAACTTCCATCAGGACCCGCCCCAAACAGTGAAGTTCGGACGGTCCCTCCCGTCCCTCCGGAGGGACCTGAGCATTTCTGTATATATATATATATATATATATATATATATATATATATATATATATATATATATATATATATATATATATATATATTAAGCGTGTGTGAGTGAATTGAATTATAAATGTATAGTATTATATGTGTGCGTGTGATTAGATCAAAAGTGGCTCCATTTACCTATGAAAGAGCAATTATATGTAATTTTTAATGAGTTATAATATACTTTCAAAATTAATATGTCCTACGTATAATCAATGAATACTCAACGGTCTGCATCCTCAATTTTGTATAATCAATTTTAGAACTCAATTTATAAAAAAACAACAAACTTCAAGCTTTGTAGTTACAAGTTTACAAACTGACAAATAAATTTGGGATTAACTTTAAAAAAATTAGGTTAGAAACTAACAAGGTTAGAAATTAAGCCGGACATGGGGATAACAGACGAATTAACATGGGCTAGAGGAATTCGTTCGTTAGCTATAGTGTGGCGATCTCACGAAGTTATCGAGCGACCGGCGAATTGGCATCTTAGGTTGAATTGTTGCAGATGCTTCACAGAGGTCGGAGAGCTGGACAAAAGATCGCATCAATACATTTTTATTGAACATCAAACATATTCTATTGAGTTTTAGAAGCATGCATTGAGTATTATTATCTCTGCTCCCATTCGAATCTATTATGATACTTTTGAAATATACATTAATATGACATTTTAAAATGAACATAAAGCTAGTATCAGATGAACATAAATCACTTACAAATTGAGCATCGAAAAATTCAAAATCTTGTTTGAATTCTCTAATATGTTTAAATGTTCATTTGTATACATATATTGTAATGACAAATATAGTAATTACGAATATAGTTATTTTGTATTAAAAATAATTTATAGTCTTTCTTTATGGAATTACAAATATAACAGGATTCATTTTATAATGTTTACCCATGTTATTTATTTTACACTATATATACTCATTTTAGCATAACACAAAACACATGTTAATTACTCCCTCCGTCCCATTTTACCTGTCTTATTTTCCTTTTTGGGTTGTCCCAAAATAAGTGTCATCTTTCCCTATTTGGAAAGAAATATGTGGTTCACAACATTTCACTTTACTATACTCAAATCTCAACCACAACTTTTACCTTTTCAACCATTTTATTAAAAATTGTGCCTAAATCAAAGGAGACACATAAAATGTGACAGAGTTAGTAGTATTAGCACATAATATTTAATAAACTAATAAATATTCATCTTAAACTAAAAATAAAAATAAGACACTAATACCTTAAATATACATCATAAATTAAAATCAATGGAAAAGGTGTTAAAACAAAAAGGGAAAAAGAAATTAAAAAAATAGAGTTACGTGAAAGCAAAAACAAAGAAGTCAAATGGAAGATGCTCCGTAGCATATACACGCGCGTAGTGGACTACAGCTGGCAGGGAAAAAAAATAAAAACAACATATGCGTTATGCGTATGAACGGACGAACTACAGCCTGCAAATCAGAAACAATTACAAAAATACCCCGGTATAATTTGCGCCCCAATTAGCTACACGTGTAATGGGCCAGGTGGTAATTTTTATTCTTTTCTTTTTTTCTCTTTCCTTTTCTTATTTCTTTTCTTATTCTCTTCGTTCCCAGCCTCCCGCAATTTTTTTCGTTCCCAGCCTAATGTAGAATGGACATTGGCATAAATTATAGAATTATATCGGTAGTTATTTAAAAAGAAAAGTGAAAATGTCAACTTTGTGTGATGATACAATTACCTTGCCAAAACAGTAAAAGGAATTTTTTTTAATTTTGTCTCTATGTATAGAAAAAATAAAATTCAATACGTGCAAGGAACATAGTGTAATTAGCATATTAGGAAGTTGCCTTTATCAAAACATTCAACGGAGAAACATCAAGAATGGATTTCATTTGAATGGTCTATTAATTTAATACCATACAATCACGTTCATAAAGAATAATCACGTTCATGAATTGTCAATGGACACAAATTGTCATCAGATCAATTAAGGATTAATTAATAAATCACGTTCATGAACAATCACGTTCATAAAGAATAATCACGTTCATTTAAGGATTAATTTTACACCAAAGTTAGCTATAAATATTGTGACCATCAATGAACACAAATTGTCATCAGATCAAACATGATCTTCATATTATGTTCAATCAATTAGGTTATACAGATGTTGACAGTGTCTAGCAACAAAACGAACAAGAGTAGTGTTCATTGAAGTTGAATCAAGCATTCTTCTCAAAATGATTATCGAAAATGAAATTCATTGTCAGTAATATTTTCAAAACACCGTGCAAGTATATATTTAATAAAGCTATTGAACTGTCAAATACTCCATATACATACAATTGAGTAGCTTTCTTGAACATACCTTCACGGAGTTTTAGAATTGAAGCATTACTTGGTGATGAGTTTCATTTTCAATAATTCTTACTTTGACAACCTGTATCGACTCTCTTGTTCACGTTGCTGCTAGCCGGTTAAATGCTAAT